GTCCCTGATCTGAGAAACACCTTGACATGGAACAAGCTCTGGTCAAATGTGAGGAGTTCTGGTCTGCCAACAGGGATTTTTCTACCCATTATTCTGCATCTCACATCCTTCCGTTGTCAGAAACTCCTGAGTATTTACAAAGGTAAGAGACAGTGAGCTCTCTGAAGGTCAGGGTCAGGGTCAGGTCTCTGTACTGTGGCAAGTGAAATGTCAAGGACTATGTCAATAGTGAATTACAGAAACTTTGGTGCTCCTGCATGTCAGTATATCTTGTTTTATAAGACACACAGACTAAGTCCTTAAGGGGTAAAATTCATTTTTATCTTTTCTTAATTAGTCTGACAAAAGCAATCATCACTTAGAAGATCTCAAATGTTTACAAGCTGACGTAATGAACTTTTAAAAAATAATTCTGAGGAAATCATACATGCCCTAAGGTAAATTCTATCACTGCAACTTCCCTGAGAGACAGAATTTACTTTCCATTTTATAACTTGACACAAGACTAATGTAATTCAAAGGAAGAAATTTGAACACCCAGGAAAAACAATCTCTTCCCATTTCTTCTTTCCAACTACACACTGCAGTCAAGTGCCACGCCACCTAAATTGCAGAAGCAGGAATGTGTATTGTATATGCCCTCTTAGAAGTGATAAAGGAAATACCTTTTGAATCACAGTGGCAATCTAACCTTTCCCAGAATCTTTAAAAGTTCTCCCTTCAGCCCTCAGCTTCCAAACTTCCATTCAACGCAGATCAGCCTGATATAACCACTTCCATTTCACAAACTGAAAAAGACTAGGTAACAAGGAAAAAATGAGACTAGGTAAAGATTTTGAAGGCTCAAAGTGATAGGAGTATATCCATGAATCAGAATGGTAATTTGTGGGGGAAAATAAATCAAAAGTTCTGGCTGAAAGGGCTGGGGATTTAGTTCAGTGTTGTCGCTCCTGCCTCACAAGCGCAAGGTCCCAAGTTCGATTCCCAGTACCAAAAAAAAAAGTTCAAAGAAACGCTAGAGCAGAGTCTGTTATTCTTAAAATATGGACTGCCAAACGACATTCATGTTTAAGCCTTTCTCTTTTTGTTCAAAGTATAAGGTCAAAATAAATTACCTCTCTTCAAATTATGAGAGCAAAGCTCTGAACAATAAGTGATATGAGGGTCAGATAGGCCTCTGTCCATATACCCCAAACCGAGTCCTCCACAGACCAGAAGACCAAAAGAAATTACTACCTTGGGATTATATTCCAATACCAGAAGTTTAATAATAAGTTACTCCCATTCAGCAAACTAATGCCACACATAATTGTGACAGAAGACTTAAGATAAAAATGCAGCAAAACAACGAAACTTGAAAGAATAAAGATATAGATAGATATAGAGATACAGACATAGCATAGGCATAGATATAGGCTCAGAAACAGATTAGGACCCTGGTTCAAAATTTAGAAAGAGCAGAGGAATCTCCAGAATGCCTGTGGCCAGTGCACTATAAGGTCCTAAACCCAGCACCTAAGATAAACATTACTCACAATCAAAGACACCCCTGACCCTCATCCAGGACTGGGATGCACCCATCATTCAAGTGCAAGGCTAGAACAAATGTTACCTCCTTCCATGAGAATCCCACATGACTGACATGTGCTGGAAAAAAAATGAATTTATCTTTAAACCCTATCAGCACACTCTGAAGTGCCCCAATGTTTAAGATATCCAAACACTGCTATCAAAGAGAGAAGAGCTGATTGGCCTTTCCTATCTCAAGGTGGGTCAGGACCCAACGCTCACTGGGTAGAAGAGGGGAGACGGAGGCAAGACCACACCGTATAAATTAGATGAGCCAACCAAACAACTACACTATCACCACAGACAACAACTATACTGGCAAGGGCTCAAGTGAAATAAGAAGAGGAGGAAATATCAAGGAAAACCTGGAAGAGAAAGGAGATGCTGTTTCTGCCTCTTGTTTTTAAAAACTTCACAACTGGGCCAGAGCTTTAGCTCAGTGGTGCCACCGACTGCCTTGCAAGCTCAAGGTCCGGAGTTCGATCCCTGGTACAAGAAAAGGAAGGAAGGAAGGAGGGAGGGAGGGAGGGAGGGTAGGAGGAAGGAAGGAAGGAAGGAAGGAAAGAAAGAAAACACTAAGAGCAAAGGAACTTAGGAGGGCTCGGCACACATCCCAAAAGCCACTTGCAACCTTTCACAACGAAGTATTTTCTCTCCGTTACCACGATTGCTGAGGACTGGGGAGCTGAAACCCAAATTGCTTGAGATGTTGCTTGGATGATACCCGAAAGGTAAATCCTGTCAACACGACACTACTTTGTCTTTACAGGAACAAACCAGTCTTACATTTAGTATCCATTCTTCCTAAACTGGATATAAATACCCCAGTGCAGGCCTGAAGCAGGACACCATCAGGTAAGATAAAGTGCCAGGCAGGAAAGAAAAGCTCAAATGGGAGGACACCTCCTTGGAAAGATAGGAATCCACTTGGAAGAAAATCTGATATTCTAAGGCTGGGCGTGACGGTGCATGCCTGTAGTCCCAGCATTCCGGAGGGTGAGGCAGGAGGATTGCTGCAGTTCAAGGCCAGCCTTGAGGCCAGCCTCTGCGACATTGTGAGTTCATGTCCAGCCGGAACTACATAGCAAGACCCTATCACAAAAAAAAGAGAAAATCTAATATTCTACATTAAAATAAGCCCCACTATATCACATAGTAAAATGAATAAGAAGTTATTTTTTTAAGATAAATAGAGACTTCAAAGAAAATTCCAACTTGCAGAAGCCATGTGGGCTATGTCCATTCACAACAGCTGCAGTTCCCTGCAAACAATCTGCCCTTTAAATGTTCTTTGATGGAATTTTTAAGAGATGTTTCAGGTGAGTGTGAACTATATCACATCTCTTTGTCCCTGAGCACCTGGGAGAGTGCAGTGCCTAAGTCGGCAGGCATCTGGCAAATTGCAGGCACTCAACAAGGTTTGTGAAGTTAATTTGGCTGAAATAATGGCAACGTCATTATCAGTAACAAACAATTCTTATCACGTTTGGATGGAAGGAAGGAAAGGTGAACAGCTGAATTAGGAAGTGGAGTAGAAGCAATCCAATTGACCAGAACACCTAATGGCTGCCATGGTAATGATCACAGGAATCAGCTCAGTGTAGGTGGTTTCCACTTGACCAAGAACAAGACAGCAAACACTGCATTTGTTAATCTCACATCAGACGCAGGTGGGGATAAGGATACAAATCACCAAGTGACTGACACTGGTGCCCATTAAATGTAACAACCTCTGAAGAGCGTGGAAAGCATCATGGCAATAATAATGCCATCAAGAATGCTAAGTCCTGGTTTGTACACTGATGCTAAAAGGCCAAGACAATCATTTAATGGCTGAGTGTCAAACATCTGCCACTCGGACTTGATACCTATGAAAATAAGATGACATGTACACATATACATGATATCTCATATGATGTGGACTCACTCTTCAGTGTTCTGGAAATTATTGCTTTGTTTTAATTAGCTGGACCCAAATTAAGCTACAGACGAAAGACGACTGAGAGAAAGGGTAGGATCCATAGCCATGATTGAAAGTTTTCTACTTCCCTGGTGGAGACATTGCATCTTACCTCCTAATAAACACTAAGAAGATCAGCATCACACCCACTTTCTACACACAGCGTCTCTCACACCCTAGTGAGTCACACACTCTCCACTCCGGGTACAGGATGCCCCTTACTTTTCAAACTAGCATGAGAACTCCGGAGGAGGAGCCGTGGGAACCGTGCCTTGTAAGGGAGCTGGGAACCAATGGACAAGCACATTTGTCTGTTTCCTTTTCATTCTTAAGTCTCAGATACACAAACGACCAATTAAAACGATGCCTTTCAGATCCTAATAATGACACCCAGGGCCAATAAAAACGTCAGCTAAAAAAAAGAAAAAAAATTTGGGCCGGGGATTTAGCTTAGTGGTTTCGCTGCCTGATGCGCAAGCGAAAGGACCCGAGTTCGATCCCCGGTACCAAAAAAAAAAAGAATAAAACGTCAGCTAAAATCCAAACACAAAGCACATGCTCAGTACTGGACGCCGCTTAAACTCCCTGAAAAACAGAAAGGCTGGAGACACACTAAGCCACCAAAGGATGGAGGGATGTAAGCGCCTCTGAGCGCCTGCCTCTGAGCGCCTCTCTCACCTCTCGTCTATCCCTAAAACTACCCCTGCAGGCAGGCATTCCATCTCCGCCCAGCATGGTCAGCAATTTGGTACTACACAGGGACGGAGAACATATTGCATGATTTTGCCATTTTATTATATCCTATAAAAAGCAAGTCTCGCAGTTCACAAGCTCTGGGATCAAATCTCTGATCCTTAATTAATCGGGCAAGTCCATCAACATCTCTCCATCTCAATTTGAGTACAAATTTATTCTTCAATCAGAGATAAGCACCTCCCAAGGACTGTTCTGAAAATTAAACCAGTGAACTCTGTAAAACGCCTAGTACAGAAGGTATTAATGAATATTTGTGCCCAAAAACACAAATGCCCAAGTTTCCTTTTCCACCCAGTCTCAGGGGAACAACAAATCCAAAAACTATCATAGAGGTTGCCAAACTGGCAAACTGCCCGGTCGGGAGCCTCAGGGTGCAGCCAGGAGGTGGAGGGTGACGGAACCACACCGCCGTGAGACCTGGGGAGGTCGCCCGCGGTGCCGGGTGCCGGAGGGTGGAATTTCACCCAGGATCCAGGATCCACAAGATGCCCTGCACAGGGCTCAGGATTCGGCGGTGAAACTTCCTTCCCAAACCCTGACTCTCCATACGCATTCCCTTCCTTAACTCTGGGGATCTCCTCCAGGGAAATTAAACCCAGTCCTTGGTGAGAAAGGCAACACACAGGTACACATAGCGCGGCAAGCTCTATGGGTGACGACCCCCGAAAGTCCGGAGGCCGGGAGGTGCACTCCGGAGGGCGGGACCCACGCGTACCTGGGGATGAGCCCGGCTTCCTCGCCCAGGCGCGCCTGGAAGTCCCGCCAGGCCAGGCCCGGGCTCCCGGGACGCCCGCTGGCGTCCAGGCTCCAAGCGGCGTCGGGGTCGTCCAGTTTCTCCTCGTCATTCGCGGGCTCGGGGCCCCGGTCCGGGCGCCAGGCCCCGCCGCGGGCCCCACGGAAGCCGCGCGCGAACTCCTGGAAGGTGACGGCCCCGTCCCCGTCGGCGTCCAGGCGCCGGAACACGGCCTCAGCCTCCGCCGGCCGAACGCGCAGCTCCGCACACAGCGCGGCGAAGTCCTCGCGCTCCAGGCGCCCCGAGCGGTTGGCGTCGCAGGCAGCGAAGACGGCGCGCAGCCGGGCCAGCTGCTCCGGGTCTCCGTCCGCCTCCATCCGGGGCGGCGAGGGCAGCAAGTGCGGAGCGGCAGGGCCCGTCCGGCCGGTTTCTCCAGCTGGGAGTCCGCGCGGCGTCGGGGCGGGGTGCGGCGGCTCCGACCGAGGCGCGAGCCCGCCCCGCCCACCGCGCTGCTCCTCTCCGCTCTGAGCGCCCGGCGTGGGCCATGGACGCTTCCCACCCCCTCCTGGCCGGGGAGGAGCCTCCGGGTCTGGGACCCACGCCCGAGCCCGCGTGAGAGCTGGGATCTCCGGAGCCTGGGATCGCAGAAGAGGAGCGCGGGGCCGGTGCCCTCCCTGCGAATACGGACTCCTCAGACTGGAAGGGGGGTGCTAGGGTGAGGTTAGCTGCACCTGTTGTCCCGTTCCAGAAACTTGGAAGACTCCTCTAGAAACAAGTTTTCCGACAAACCAAACTACAAGATTTAACAGAAGTCCCCATTGTGCGGTTGTACAGGCTTCCGTCAAAGCATTTCATTTAACGTAAAGTCGCATTGTCACATAGCTCTTTCCTGTCTAACTAAATCCCAACCGTTTTTCTCAGTCCCTGAGGTCAACCCAAGAAGACAGCTGGAATCGCTTGGCAGGCAGCGTTCTTTAAAGAAAGACAGCTGTAGTTTTGTTTCTGTTTTGCTTTGACTTTTGGATTTTTCTTTTTAAAAACCTTATGGAAATTATAGATACAACGTTACACTTCTCTTGGCTTTTACACACGTGGTTCAATGGTGCTGCTGTTTCTTTGGCACAAACTGCTTGCTGGATACAAGATTTTTTAAATTCATCCGTTTTGACACTTGTTTTGCAGAAAGCATTTCAAGTATTAAAGTATCTGACACTCCCTATTATTTTGAACAATTTCTTCCTGTTTCACAGTATCTATTGAATATTTCGGTTCTTATTTACACTTAGTTTCTCACATCAGAGATGATGTGATATTTACACATATGTGTTCTGTTTCTTTCATTTAAGAGCATTGAGCGAAAATTTAGCTCAGTGGAGCGCAGCCAGCCTCTCAAGCGCAAGGTCCCGAGTTCCGACCCTGGTATCCACCCCCACCCCCCACCCCACCCCCGCAAGAAGGAGTATGGTCTCAAGATGCATCCATTTACCTATAAATGTGTCAAGTATATCCTTTATGGCTGAGTAGTACTCCATTGTAAAAAACAAAAAATTTAAGCACGGTACTGCTATAAACATGGTTGTGCATATATATCTGAGGGCAATCAATCCTCCGACTGCCTGAAAAAGTGGACAGCAAGGGCTAAAGGAAGACTTGTGTAATTTCAAAGTACATGGTGGGCCCAGAGGTCGGTGTCTCAGAGTGGGAAAAGACAAAGACATTCCAGGCTAGCCCTCATTTATTGGGTATACACAATAATTGAAGGGAATATCAGGTGACTTAGCGGGTGGTGGTAATCCTATGTTGATAAAGATCTTATGGTATGAAGATCGTAGATCTTGAGGATCTTATGCTGATGAAGGTGATAAGGACAGCATTCTTGGGAGGAGATAGCAGGGAAATAAAGAAGTTATCCTTCCCCCAGATGAAATCTTTCTCTCTTTTTTTTTTTTTATTGTTACTGGATTCGCAAAGAACCAGGATGTCTTCAGGTGATATACTCTTGCCCTTGAGCATCACAGTATCACCTGACCATTGAGGCCTCAACTTCTGACCCGAGGCAAAATGGAGTTTTTTCCACATGCCATAGCCTCTCCCAGGCAAGGTGACATTAGACCTTAAACAGCTATAGTCATACTTTAATTATTAAATGATTTTTCCCTAAAATTTATGTAGACTAGCTCTTGTCATATATATCACTGTGGTATACTTTTTTGGGGAAGATACCAAGAAGGGAAATAATTGGGTCAAATGGAACCTCTAATCCTGGTTTTTTGAGGTATCTCCACACTAATTTCCACAACGGTTGCACCAGTCTACACTCCCACCAGCAGTGGAGCAGGGTTCGTTTTCCCCACATCCCCGCCAGCATTTGTTGTTGGTTGATTTCATGATAATAGCCATTCTTTCTGGAATGGGATGGAATCTAAGCCTTATTTTAATTTACATCCCTTGAATGACCAGTGATGTTGAACATTTTTTCATATATTTATTTCCTGTTTGTATTTTTTCATGTGAGAAATGTGTATTCATCTCAGATGCTCATTTTTTGATTCTGTCTTTAAGTTTGGGGGAGTCTGATTTTTTTCAATTCTTTATATGTTCTACATATTAGTTCTTTGAGGAACAACTGGCTAAAATTTTTTCCCACTCTGTGGGTTGTCTTTTCACTCTGGTGGTGATTTATTTTACTGTGCAAAAGGTTTTTAATAAGATGAGATTCTAGTTGTTGATTCTTTCCAGTATTTCCCCTGAGATCAGGGTTTTGTTCATGAAGTCTTTGCCTATACCTATGTCCTCAAGAGTTCTACTTATTCTCTCTTCCAGAAGACTTAGTGTTTCTGTTTTAATATTTAGATCTTTGATCCGCTTTGATTTTACCTTAATGCATAGTCTAGTTTTAGTCTTCAGCATGTGGAAAGCCAATTTTTCCTGCACCATTTATTAAAGACCATATCTTTCTTCTAGTGAATGTGTTTGGCCCTTTTGTCAAAGATAAGATGGCTAAGTGTGCTTGGGGTTGTTTCTTCGTCTTCTAACCTGTCCCATTGCTCTTTAGGTCTAGTTTTTTTGCTTGTTTGTTTGTTTCTTTCGCCAGTTCCATGCTTTCTTTTTTCACAGTAGCTCTATAGTATAATTTCAAGTCAGGGATGGTGATGCACCCTGCCTTGCCTTTGTTGCCCAGAATTGTTTTTGGTAGTCTAGGTCTCTTCTCATTCCAAATGAATTTTACGAATGTTTTCTCTAGTTCTGTGATGCATACTAATGGTATTTTGATTGGGATTGTATTAAATCTGCATCATAGACTTGAAAGTATGGCCGTTTTCACTATGCTGGTTCTTCTGTTATACTTTTCAATCTCCTTCTTCAGAGTACTATAATGTTCAATGTATAGGTCCTTTACTTCCTTTGTCAGATTGATTACTAAATATTTTATTTTTTGGATGCTATTGTGAAAGGTGTTATTTCCCTAATTTCTCATTCAGTGAGTTTGTTATTTGTGCAGAGGAATGCTATTGATTTTTGAGTGTTGACTTTGTATCTTTCAAAGAACCAACTCTTCCATACATTTATTCCTTATATTGTTTTCTTAGTCTCCACTGCATTTATTTCTGCCTGATCTTTATAATTTCCTCCCTTGTACAAACTTTGGACTTGATTTGTCCTTCTTGTTCTAGACATATGGCGTTTAAGAGTAGGTTGTTTATTTGAGCTCATTCTGTTTTCCTGATATGAGAATTCATCACTATAAATTTCCCTCATAGGATTGCTCTCACTGAATCCCATAAGTTCCAGTATGTTGTATCGACATTATCATTTAATTATAGATACTGTTTAATTTCTTCTTTAAGCTCATCTCTGACCCATTGGTTGTTCAGCAGAGTGTTATTTAATTTTCATGTGCTTATGGAGTTTTGTGGTTTCTTTTGCCATTGATTTCAAATTTTACTTCACTGTGGACATATAATATGCATGGGATAATTTCAATTCCTTTGCATTTACTTAAGCATGTTCTATGGGCTAATATATGGTCTATTTTGGAGACTATCCCATGTGCAGCTGAAAAGAATGTGTATTCTAATTTTGTGTGGTGAAACACTGTAAACATCTACGAAATCCATTTGTTCAGTGATTCGGTTCAGTTCTGGTATTTCTTCATTGATTTTTTTGTCCAATTGATGTGTCTATTTGTGACAGTGTGGTATTAAGATTCCCCCACACACAATTGTATTACTGCTTATTAGATTTTTCATGTCCATTAATATTTTTATATAGTTGGTTGCACTAGTATTTCATGCATGTATATTTATGATTCTTATCTCTTGTTCTTGGAGTTTTCACTACAAGTATGCAGTGACCTTCTTTGTCTCTCTTAAAATCAGTCTCGGCTTGAACTTCACTTTGTCTGCAAATACAATAGCTATTCCTGCTTTTTTCTGGATTCCTGTCACCTGGGGTATTGTTTTCCATCTTTTGACTTTCAGTCTATGAATTTCTTTTTGAGTTAAATATGTTCCTTGTATGCAGCATATTATTGGATCATGTTTCTTGATTCATTTTGCCAGTCTGTTTCTTTTGATTGGTGAATTGAGGCCATTTACATTGATAGTTATAACTGATACACATTGGCCTATCCTTGTCTTACTTTTTTCCTCCTGTTGATTCTCTGTCTTTCTCCTCTATTTAACTGCTTGCCCTGACTGGTGGCTTCTTTCTATTGGTATTCTTGGAATTCTGGTCTTTGTTATCTCTTTCTAAATTATCCTTCAGAGCATTTTGTAGAGCCTGTTTGGTGGTTATGAATTTCTTCAGTTGTTCTTTCCCATGGAGGTATCTTAATCCTCCATTTATTTTGAGTTTTTCAGGGTACATCAATCTGTGTTGGAGGTTGTTTTCTTTCAGGACCTGAACTACTTCATTCCAAGCTCTCCTTGACTTAAGTGTTTGCATTTAGAAATCTGCTGTGATTCTGATGGGGTCTCCTTCACAGATTTTTTTTTTCTCTAATTGCTGTTAATATTCTGTTCTTGTGTTGAATTTCTGGTATCATGTTAATTATGTGCCTTAGTATAGATTTATTTTGATCATGGCTGACTGAAGTTCTATATGCCTCACTTATTTGTATGTCAAATTCTTTTTCCACATTGGCAAAGTTTTCTGCCATTACTTCTGTGAACAGGTTTTTTTTTTACATCATTTGTGCTGGCTCTGGCTTTCTCATTGACTCTGATCAAACTTATGTTGTTCTTCTTTGCATCATTTATAGTTTTTGATTGATTGTTCATGGTCTTTTGCTATTTTCAAGATATTTTTCTTTTCATGGTAGCTAACCACAATCCTATCTTCTAGATCTGATATTCTGTTCTCTTTGTTCAGTCAGTTGTGCATACTTTCAATGGAGCTTTTTTTTTTTTGTATCAGGGATTGAACTAAGGACATTGTGC